TCTCTCTCTCTCTCTCTCTCTCTCTCTCTCTCTCTCTCTCTCTCGTGCCTGCTGAAGCTGTCATCGTCCCACTGCCTCCTGTGGGAGCTTTCTTTCACCACAGTGCAAGAGTGTCCACTGCACTCCATTTGCTTCGCCACACGGAAAGCCCCGTGGCTGGCCATGGGGCCTCACAGGAACTCACTGGTGGCTCTGCAAGAGCCTCACAGCTGCTTCCGATGACCACATGACTCTCCTGGGAATGAAGCAAACAGGAAGCTGGCAGAAGGGAACGCGACGCGTTGCTGGCACGTGTGCTCCGCCACGCTAAGCAAGCGGGAATGAGCAGGGCAGGCGTGTCTACGGCAAGCACCGAGGAGCATCTGTTCTTAAATGGGCAGCTACGCTGCGTACTTGAATTCTGTCCCCCTTTTGCCCTTCTGGTTCCTACCCATTTGGTTCATTGCTAGGTAGCCTTTTCAGAAGGGATATCTGGCGAAAGGAATGTGTGTGAAGGGAGTGGCACGGGGTGAGAGAGCCCTGAGCGATGCGTGTTTGTCCGGAGGGGGTGTTGCGGCCCTGCATGGCATGCACAGTGCTCCAGTGGGTGCCCAAATTAGAGAATACTGGGGCAGAGGGATGGCACTTCCCCGCTGCTGTGGCCCCCTGTAGCTACCTCATAGTCTGCTCAAATCTCGGAAAGTCGAGGGAGTGTGTTTTCAAATAAATAAATAAACCTCAATTATACAGCTCAAGTGTGCCTTTCATCACTGCGCTGTCAGAGATACTAATTTCACACAAAAGGGCTTTGTTATCTGCAACTGAAAGGGAGGGAAGTGAGTGGAGGGAGCCAATTAAGGAGTAAGCGTGAGCACATACAGGAACACTTGGTGCAACTGAGCAGCATTTTAGTGTGGTGAATTCAGTAAAGTAATTTATATGAGTTTAGGATTAATGGGATGGAGTTGTTTGGCCAATGGCCATGTGAGCAGGACAAGGTTTTTTTGGGGAAAGGTCTTGAGGGAAAACAGGAGTGTGTCCCTACAGAAAAGTCACGGGAGGGAATGCCATAGGGGGAGTCATACCAGATTACTGTAGAGCTTACTGAGTTCTGCTACTTGAAGACATTTGGAAAGGTGCTGCATAAATATTACCTTGAAAAAATGCTACCAGTACAATTAGCAAGTGTCAATATATGTAACAATGCCAGAATGCCATGGAAACTCATCATCATCCTTTTCGTTCTGATAAGAAGGTGCGAATCTGTGTGAGAGACAGAGACAGAGACGACAGAGACAGAGAGATTTTGTCTCAGATTTTAAATTTTCCCACACAAGGAAACAAGGCTGCAGCACTTGTGTGAAGCAATGAGGAACACTACCACAATTTTCTGGGAGCTTCTGAGGGTGCATGATAAATTTATTCTCCATAGCTGAGAACTCCTGGATAATTTCAAAAACTCCAGTTTGTCCGGGGCCTTACTCTATACAATATCAATCAATAAATTCCTGGTGCTATGTGATATCTGATCAATGGATCCAGCAATACAAAAATAATGTAAGATGCAACATTAAAAGTTCAGCTGATTGACATGTTGAACAATGTTATTATGGAGTTCTTTAAATTCCAATCCTGTCCATGTTTTTACATACTGTCAGTATTAGAATGCATATGAATATTAGTATATTGGTCAAAATGAATCATTTCAGCATTGAAACATGTACTGATTTGCAAATACTGCAGGAATGCTCACAGGATGAAAAGGAATATATAACATATTCATTTTTGCTATGCTTTCCGAAAGTGACACCTAGTGGTACTACAGCATTTCTAGCAAGGAATGCCTTTCAGATGAGGTAGTCTTTAATTTTCGTATAGAAGTTTGTTTACATGACTAGACTTTAGGGGACTTTCCATAGTATATTTGCTATGTGCAGGGTTGGAAATTTGAGAACATTTCAAACACTGAATAGCAAAACTCCACCACATCCAAAGAATGGATGTTCTGAATTAACAATGCATAAAAGAAGCCTACAAGGAAGGTTTGGATCTGGAAGGCTGTATCCTCCCTCCGTCCTGAAAACAACCTGCATGTTGGCCTTGTGTTCTGGCTCTTGGCTTAAGGCCCTGTATGCACATGCAGCGGCATGAACTGGTAGAGGCTTAAGGTGGTGGTGGGGCTGTATCACTCTGGATCACTGATGCAGGATGCTGGCTTTTTTTTTTTTCAGTGCCCTACTTAGGGGTTTTTTTTTTTAAACCCTCTCTGTAAGTAAAAGCCAAAATTGAGGAGAATTTTGGTTAAGCCTGGTTTCTGCTTTCTTCTTGAAGGATTTTTTTTAAACTCAGGGAAGAATTCCAATCCCTCATTTTCGGTCTGAAACAGCACAGGCCTGCTAGCGTGGCACTAAAGGGGCACAACCTTGCAGCTCCGAACTCTCCATCCTTTTTCTGCGTGCATAGATCAGACCCCGGGCAGGAGGTTCCACCCGTCAACCCCCTGGAGACACAGTGCTTCCCAGCCTTTTAAGGCGATCATTTTGAGAGTCACTTGTGGGTGTTCACAAAAAGGTTGCAAAAACAAGTCACGACGCCCCTGTTCCCCAGACGGCCAGCTAGTGAGGCTACAAGAAAAAGAGCTTGTCCAAGAAAGTAAGTGCCAGGCGGGGGGGGGGGGGGGTGCATTTTAAAGCAGAAAACCACTTTTTTCAACCTGTGTTTTTGCTCCAACATGCATTTCACAGAAGGAATTGACTCACCCAAGAAACGCTGAGTGCAAATAAAAAATGGGGTTGCATTTGTAATCCATCCAGAGACTTGTCAGTAATGGGATGGCATAGAAAAACTTTAAATCAATCAATCAATCAATCAGTCAATCTAAGCCCCAAAAGCCAAACCATGTACTGCCAATCAGGAAAAGTGGGGGCCCTGATGGCTGATCAGGTGTCCACAGGCAGATTCGTTTGCCAAGTGATCTGTAACCCAAAGGGGCTGCCCGGGTTGGATGCTGACAGGCTGGAATCAACCTGCACAGAAAGGGCCATGCTGAGTGGATCTGAAATCTGGAAAGAACCATGAGGAAAGGAAGATGTGTAGCGCATGTGGGAGAGGTCCGAAAGGGGAATGGCTTGGGTTTTACAAGAACTGTCATTGAACTTAATCCGGAGACCTCTGCTTAGGTTATAGTGATGGTTCTGCTTTTCATGTGGGCACCGAAGGGGGTATGTTTCGCTCATGTTTTGTGCCATGTAAGAAATAACAGTGCGGAAGCAAACGGTAAGCACAACATTAGTCATTTTAGCAAGAAAAAGTGGGGCATGGTTACATAAAGAGAAGAAGGGCATAAAATATGAAGAGTTAAGTTATGAGGAGACCCAAGGGGGGAATTAAGAAGGAGGAAAGCAACCTAATTAGTTTCTGCTAAGCCTCTTAAAGAGAAATGGGTAATTTTCATCAAGCATTCCCTGGTCTGCCAGTTTCCATCATTCCTAGAAAGACAGGGAGGTCTTTCCCTTGGGAGTTCCACTTGTCAGCTCCTCCTCCTCCTCTTTCTCATCATTACTTGCTTGATGGAGAAGCAAAGAACCTGCGAGGGGCAGGCCGAGGCATCTGCCGCTGCTCCTCACCGTTGTTTGGGCCAGCGCAAAAGAAGATGAAGTAGGCAAGCAGCTCCAGGTGGGTCTTCGTGGTCTGTGTTGGGATGTGGTCCCTCAGCAGCTGTCCAGCTGTGATTAGAAGTTTCATGGTTGCACATACTGCTCTCCAGACTAGGGTTGGGATGTAGCTCACCAGGATCCAGCCCTCTAGCATTTGTGGGCTTCCTTTTGTGCTCAGGCTGGTCTTGCAAATGAGCCAAGCCAAGCCCCTGGAAATGGAGGTTGCGCAATTGGCAATCTCCTTCTGCATCAGGGGCAGCAGCACAAACAGCTGCTGCCCATGGTGCTGGAGAGGGTTCATGGCACGCAGGGTTCGGTTCCTGGTAAGCGCCCCACGAACACCCAGTGAGCTCAGCAGGCATTCAGACTCATGGCTTGACAAAGCAAACCGGAGCCCAGGGAGCCGAGCCAAGGGGGTCTGCCAGATTCCCAGCCCTGGGAGAGATTCCTGCACATGCCTAGTCCGAGCAGAGGCAGCCAGTTGTGCTGTCGTTCCAGCTGGTTCTTGTTAATAACGCTGTTCGGTCGGGTATCCATGCTGTCCTGGGCCTTTCTAGTCCTTCTTATCACCACCACTGTTTGGATGGAGCAAGAGCAGGGTGAACAAGCAGGTTACAATGGCGAAGCAACGCAGCAGTTCCAGGATGCACTTCTTAGGGAGCCTTCCTGGCATGTGGTCCTCACAGATGCCCAGCCATGCCTGCTTCATATCACTCAGCCTTTCCTGCAGCTGATTGGATAATAACTGCACTAGGGCTAGGGCTATCCTGTTGTCTGAAGCATGAAGACAGACACACGTGGGAGAAGAAAATATCAGAAATGATGGTCCAATCAATATCCTTGATTTTGAAAGGGGATTTTAAAGGAATAAACAGGCATCCTGAACTGAACTGTGCCAGGAAGCAAATGAAGAGCCGTTGCAGTGATGGAATACCGATATTATAAGGTAAAACTCTAATCAGGAATCACATCACCACATTTTGTAGCAGGGGAACTTTCCAGAACCTTTTCATGGGCAAATTTGTCTGAGCTATATCACAACAACCTAACCCTGAAATGACAGGGGTGTGCGCAACTTAGGTAAGATTCGCCTTTGACAGAAATTGTGAGAGCTGGCAAACTAGATAAAGGGCTGTGTGAAACCATTTGTCTTTTTCTTTCTGAATGCAATGCGATATTCTTGTGGTTGGCAGCATCGTACAAGGGACGGCTGGTCAGTGTTTTCATAACATCCTTAGAAACGGGAAAGTCCCTGCATTTTCCTGCCCGCGGGGATTTCCCACTCTTCTGATCTGAGAAGTGGTGAGCGAGGTGATTATCATTCTTCCATGCCTTGTCTCTTTGAGCTTTATGCTACATTTTGAATCTTACTCCCACTGATGTTTAGAGGGATATACTGCATATGTGTGCAGTACATCTGCGTATGTATGTAACAGCAACAAACAGTGGTCCAACTTGCTCCTTTGTAGCATGGCTGGTGGTTTTGAATATTTTTTCCTTACAACAGATTCAAAGCAGCTTACATCATTCTCCTCCTGCTGCTATCAATCTTGTCTCCATAACAAGAACCCTGTGAGGTAGGCAAGGTTGAGAGTCTGGCCAAAAGTCACCCAGTTGACTCCATAGCCATGCGGGGACTAGAACCCAGATTGTCTGAGTCCCAGTCCCGTGCTCTTAACCACTACACCACACTGGCTCCAGAAATATAGTACATCTCACAACAGTGTAGAAGATGGTGACTAGGTGACCTGCATGCCTTGCTTATTCCACTGTCCAGGTGCCATCGAAGGCAGCCTCAAATCCTTCTTAGGCTTCTTGATCTTTAAATAAGTCTTGGGCTGAACAAGCCCTTTAAACGGAGGACTGTCTTATGGCAGCAATTCAAACAGAGAACAGTCCTCTCTAAAAGAGGGCACATGGCCACCCTATAAGGCAAGTAAGGGCCTTCATGATAAATGCATGCTGTTGTGCAGCCAGGACACCCATCATTCCCAGACTGGGAGCAAAATCAGCCAGCAGAAGCTGGGTACAATCCCCATGCCAGGCCAAAACTATGGAGCTGGAACCAATGAAGGTTAGGGTCAAGGTGACTCCAAAGGAAACAGCTTGTGGTCACAGTGTCCCTGTTTCGCTCCCCAGAAGATGTTGTGGGTGTGATCTTGGGATTTGTGCAATCCATTGAAAGTGTGATTGTTTCGGCACACTTTCCGTGTCTGAATTAGCACAACAAATTGGCTCTTATGTTTGGAAGCGGCTTAATTGGGAAGTGCAGCTGATTGGGAACCAAAGACCTTTTCTTCCCGCTTTATTGATTACTGATTTTTAGATACAGCTCTATTCACAGAGATTCTGGGCTGTTTGCAGCAATGTAAATTGAGCAATTTAAATGCAGATTAAGAACAACATATCAAATAAAATAAATCTGGGATAGTCTGTTGAAAGAGGTCTATCGGTAGCTTCCTCTTGAAGGAAACCATCTGACTCGCCTATCAAGTTCTTTCTCACCAGTTTCTTCATTTTAGAGATATTTTCTCTTTTATAGTCAAATGTGACTCCATTGGACTCCCTTCACATTTTCCTACAGAAATATTTATAAAGTTGATAGAATTATGGTCCTTGGTTTTTTCAGTTGGTTCCACAACATTCACATCTCATGGGTAACACCACTTAAGGATCAAGTACAGGATTGTCCCCTTCTGGTTGGTTCCATCTGTTCTAGGGCACGATTGTCAGGGAAATTAACTTCTTTGTCACAATGGCAGCATGTCTTTATCTATGCAATGTGAGAATAATTGAAGTTATTGATTATAATAGCATGTCGTAGGCCTTCCTGACTTTGCCTCCCATCACAAGATCACCCTGAGCATGATGATCTGGGGTGCAGTACAACCATGCTAGGACAAAAATAGTGTTGCAGTCTAGTTTTGTCGCTTTGCTTCTGTGAAGCGGTCTTCTTCTTCCAGATTGTGTGGTCTGTTTTACACCCTGTTGAATCAAATGTGATTTAGTCTTTTCAGTACTCTTTTGACTCAGCTCATTGTCAAGAACTAAATTCAAGTTGAAGCAGGGAAGCTGGATGGTCTATCACGTTAACTGGATCAAAGACAGAATATACTTTCCCTGAGGTTTTAGAAATGAGTGTGTTCTGGTTTAGCATGAGGTCCTGGGATAGTCATTTGCAGAAACTGTTCACTGTCTGTTCTGTCTTTCAGTAAGTAAGGCCGTGGCCCACACTGGCAAGGTTGAAGGCAGCCCAAGACAATGCTAAGCCATTATGGAAACTACTGTGGCCTGGTTTGTATTGTTGTGTGAAGCCTGCCAGATGGTACAGTGTGGTAAGGATGGTCTCCATGTATCCAGAGAGAGAGAGAGAGAGAGAGGGAGGGAGGGAGGGAGGGAGGGAGGGAGGGAGGTCTGTTGTATGAATACCATCCTTTTTGATTGTACGGTTTCCATGCAGCAGCCATTGAGACCTGTGGAAAGAGTGGCCACTGTTGGAGGAGACACGCCTGCCTGCTTTCCCACTGTCTAGATACGCCTTGCAACAGAAGCAACAGCTCCTGATTGGTTACTCTGACCTCCCATTCACCACTGCCTGCTTGCAGCATTCAAGATGCCCACCTGACAATTTGGAATATCATTGGCAGTGGAGAAGAGCACAGGGCAACCTTCAGCAGCAGCAACCTTGATGTTGAGAGCTGGAGCTCCTCCTTTGCACCTTCAAAACCCACAGGCATTTTTCTTTGCAACCATCATTTATTGACCAGAAAGTACAAAAACTGAGAATGAGTCTCTGAGCATGCACTGAGTGGTTTGTTGATGTGGATCTAGTATTGACCTCCAGGAAAACTCCTTCTGATGGTCGGAATGTGTTTAGCATGGGCAGAAAGGATAAGCTGTGCAGAAAAAAGCTACTCAAAAATGGCTTTTTCAAAATCTCCCTCTTTTAAGTGGGAACTTTAGCCCTATATTAGGGTTCGGGGTGTGCACCAGGGTAGGGTTAGGGTTAGAAAAAGAGGTGTCCTGGCATGATTTTGAAGGTTGGAATGTCTTTAGAATGGGCAGAAATGATGAGCTGTGGAGAAATAGCTACTCAAGGATGGCTTTTTAAATATGCCTTCTTTTACCTCCTCTCTGCACTCCATTCCTGTAACTGGGCCTCCCTCTTTCTGTTGCTGATGTTTCAAGAGCCATCCAACTTTGCCGAAGTCTGGGAAACTCTCCTGCTCCAAGTCCCTTCCCACCCACTCTACATCTTTTTTCGTCCCAGACTCTGCTGCCCCCTCCCCCCACGGGGGGCCTGGCCTTGAGGTATCCTTACCGGCTGGTCTCATCTCAGTCCCTCGGTCTGGCCCACGTTCCCAGGCTAACGCCAGTTCTGCTTCGTAAAGTGACTGGGAACCCCCAACTCCCAGCTAGCAGCCCTTGAGAATGAGTGCTCCAAACAGCCAGCTTTCTCACTCCCAGCACTCGAAGACGGCTGTGTTTGATGCTCCCGCCTCATTCCCACAGACCACACAAACACCACTTGTGCATTGGGCACAGGGGGTGTGAAGCTGGCAGAGAAAGCAACTGACCTAGGTCACCTTTTGAGGTCGAGATTCCCTACACGAGGCACTAAACTCAGGACTGCAGTGAATAACAGAAATGCCAGACTTGCATCCCTCTTTCAAAAAAAAAACCTCCATGAAATTGGTCAAGAAACATGGGAGAAGCTCTGATTAAGGACAAACGAAGGGCCCTCGGATCCATAAATGATGGATCACAAGCTCACACGAGATGCCTCATGCAGCGATGCCCTTAATCTCAGAGATATGATTCCAGCTGTTGGGGAATCCTTTCAGACATAGCTCATGGCAAAATCCCACACGAGTCTGTTCCAAAGTAATTTCCACTGAATTTCCTTTCTGTCATGTAAACGAGTGTGGGCTCACGGGCTTGGAGCCACACGGGTGCTCAGCCACTGTGCTCGGTCTCACGTGAAGGGCATCCGAAGCATTTCTGGAAGCGCAAAGGCAAAGCTGCAACTCTTCCGCTGTCAGTATCATCCCAGAGTCTACTTGAGAAGTGTAGAAATGGCAACGCGACGGACTCTGCTTTGTGTCCCACAAACCGCATTCCTGATGTTAACACTCCAGTGAGCTGAAGTGGACTCCAGGGGCTGGTGGAGGACAGGACGGCCTGGAGGAGTGTTGTCCGTGGGGTCGCGAAGGGTCGGACGCGACTTCGCAACTAGCAGCAGCAGGAAGTTCTTAAAAGGAACACTAGATGGTGCTCGTGAGCCTTGAACAAACACAGCGATGGTCAAAATAAGGCGCTATTGATGCATTTGTGAAAGTAAGAATCCTCCTAATTTGAAAACTGCTCTCAGACTGTAGCCACTTATTTAATAACAGTTTCCCTAATGAATGAAATAGCAACGCTGTCCAAGTCAGAACATTAAAAAACATCCTGTTTAAAAACAGTACATGGCCCAGGTACTGTTCAAAGTCTGGGCTCAGAGGAAGCTCAGAGGGACTAGAACGGAGGCCAAGGGCAGGCAGGACTGGGCAGCTGTCAAGGGGTTGTCCAGGATTTCTTTGGGTCATTTATTCGGGAGGGTGAAAATAATTTTCACTGAAAATTGTGGGAAGAGACAAGCATTTCAGAAAAATGCCTCAGGGTGCAGGGTGCCAGTGGCTGGTACTGTGGAACACACTTTTTCCTTTCCCATTCTTATCCTGCTCTGTCCCCGGAGCCTCTTTGGATGCTTGTGCTTCTCGGAAAAGCCAGGAATTTAACCATGAGATCCTCTCTTGGGGCTTCCTGGTGCTGCTGCTTGCTGAGTGCTTGAAAAGTGAGCAAGGGACCTTATTTTCTTTGAAGGACTTTTAACCACACCATTACCACCAAACAAAAGCTGCTCCCATAAGTGCCATATTTTCCTGGAACTTCTTTGCACAAACAAAACCATTATTTTAGTTTGCTTACTTTCATCTCCATGGGCACATACTCCATAATACCAAATGCTTGTAAGAAAGTTGGTTCATTTCTAAAACAGGAACCGTTGAGAAAGGAACTTGAACCTTTAGAACATGGGTCCTCAAACTACGGCCCGTGGGACAGATCTGGCCCGCCATGCCCATTCATCTGGCCTGCGCTGCCGCCCGTGTGCATGCTCACTGTGGCTTGCTCACTCGGAGATGGTTTTTGACTCATTGGGAGATCTCCCAGTGAGTTCAAAACCGTCTCTGAGCAAGCAAGCTGCCGCCACCTGCCTCCCCTGCTCGCCACTGCTTTGCTTGCTGGGAGGTGGTTTCGAACTGGCTGGGAGATCTCTGAGCAAGCAAGCCGCCGCATGCGCACCCGACGCCACCTTGCGCGCAGCCGACGAGGGCTCACCAGCCCCCCTCCCATTGGCCCGTGTGTGTAGCTGCTGCCTTTCAACTGGCCCCCTATTGAAAAAGTGCGAGGATCCCTGCTTTAGAAAGAGAAACTCAAACTTTAACCTAGATATGTCAGAACTGATGAGCACTAATCCATGGGGAACCACATGCATTCAGAACATGATTGCAGGCTCGCAATTTCTCCTATTCCAGCTGAAACTTGAGAAGAAGATCTGGAGATGATCTCATATATTCCAGAGATTAGTTCAGCTGCTACATGGCTCTATTTAGTGCAGGGCAGAGCAGAAAAGCTCTGATGGGGAGCATGGAACTCATCTGACCAGCACTTACAGAGATGTATTCACAGAATAACGTTTATTTCTGGATGTATCACAGAGTGCTGGCTTTCATGATTAAAGCTCCAAATGGATTGAAGTCTGCTAAACTATACCATTAGAAATAGAAATTTGTCTGGCACCAACATTTCCAGTGCCAGGCAAAAACATTGCTCTTTTCTAGGCATTTTAACAATAAAAATTCACAACTAATTTTAATGTTTGTAATAATATATCATTTTATGGTTGTCTCTCCAGTGATTTTAGTGGATTTATTGCAATGACCTATTTATTGTTGTTTTTATGATATTTGATTGTTTTTATTATTGTATGCTTGTATGCTTGATAGTTTTATTGTTTTAATGACTGTGTGATTTTAAGTGTTCTAAGCTGCCCAGAGACTCCACTTGGAGTAGAAGGTGGCATACAAATGTAAAAATAAATAAATGCATAAGCAAATTATAATACCCTCTTCTTCAATGAGGGGGGCGATGAGAGGGACATCTGTGGCGGGCTGGGCAATTTGGTGTACTGCCTTCTTATGAAATCCCCTACCCCTGGATTCACCTATCATCCTCTTTGGAGATTTTCAGATCCCTTTTAAAGACACTGCCATTGATACAGGATTTTCACTGGATTTTGTGTCGATTGATTATGTCCCCCCTCCCCCCGTTTACTGCTGTTTCAAAACCTGCTTTTAAGCTGCCTAAAATCATTTTGTGCCTAGCAATCCAAAGCAGGCTTTACCTAGGGGGTATCTGCATTGAGCTCAGTAGGACTTCTGAGTAAACATTTTAGTTTTCTTTCCAGATACCAATTACTTCTTTGATGCTGGGTCTTTTTGTTTGTTTGTTTGATAAATTGCTGTGTTTAATTATGTTGCCAGCCACCTTGCAAATTACAGCACAGAGGTCGGATATACATTTTTCATACAAATAGAACAAAATAAACCTCTCTACCCTCCTCATGGCCTCTTGGCAATTATGTATGTAAATTAATTTAAAAACATGCAAACTGGATGGATGCAGACAAAACAGGCGTGCAAAATGTCTGGGGAATTGCAGACATTTGGAGACAAGGGACACGAAACTGGGCCAGTAAGCATGATTTCAGGTGGATTTTATCAGAGATTGTAGTTGCTTTTTTTAGTAAGTTTGGTCCTGCCGAACACTTCTACAGTTATATTGCTGGCCTTTTTGTACAAAGTAGAATTTTGCATGTAATGAAACAAAAAACATCATTTAAAAAAATGAAACAGTTTAATATATTTATGAGGTAATCCTATGAAATTCCAGACAGAAAAAAGGCTGGTAATTCTCAGCTCTCCCCTGTTATGTGCCTTTTTTCTGTCTGGACTTGCTTAGGATTGTACCCTTGGAAAGTGAGGTGGAAGTAGAGACTTTTTCAGAAGGTGTTCTACTGAATGGTGCCCCTCCACCCATGGATGGACCGGGCTGAAGTCATGGGACTAGCCCCTTCTTTGCTCACCTGGCAACCTCCGCTGTTCCGCCCACTCCTGCTCCCGAGGGTTGGAGAACCCTTTGGGGCAGGTGTAGTTCTCCACAGCTGCCTAGAGAGCTGGTGGGCTCTCCCACTCCAGAGACATTCAAAAGAAAAAAACAAAACTGGACAGCCACGTGAGTGGGAAGGTGTAATGTGGTGTCCTGCAACAGCAGGGGGGTGGACTGGATGGCCTTCATGGCCCCTTCCAACTCCACTATTCTATGATTCTAGGGGCTACAGAGGGGAGAAAGGGAAGAGAAACTCCCATTAACTTAGCAGAAGTCTGCCTGCATAACGTTGGACTTAGGCCAGTGCTACTAGCTCATCTTCTGGCACGCCATCTGGCTTTTCCATGGCTTTCAGAACATCATTCAGCCTTCAGAACTGATGCTCGTCTTTGTGTATATAACTAACATGATGCCATTTTGATGTGTGTCTTTCTAATGAGAGCCAGTGTGGTGTAGTGGTTAAGAGCATGGGACTGGGACTCAGAGGATCTGGGTTCTAGTCCCCACTCAGCCATGGAGCCAACTGGGTAACTTTGGGCCAGTCACAGACTCTCAGCCCAACCTACCTCACAGGGTTGTTGTTGTGGGGATAAGATGGAGGAGGAGATGTAAGCTGCCTTGAGTCCTTTGTGGGAAAAAGGCAGGATATAAATAGAAAAAAAAATAACAGAACACTCACTCAGCACTGTATAAAAGGAGTAACTTTTCTGCATCGTGCTACAGTGTTTCATGTCATGGAATCTGGGTTCTCAAAGAGGAATTATTTGTACTTAGTTGTACATGTTATTTTTAAGCTGAGAAAATTCTGGGAAATGAATGGAAGATTTCTTAATTCTTGTTTACACTGGACAACTAATTCAGTTTCACTGTTTAGCAAGGGTGAGGAGAGAATGGCCCCCATCGGTTCGCATAGACTAGCTTTCTGTTGAAGGTTGGCAGGTTTCTTGCCACCCAGATATATTCTTCCTATTATCCAGAAAGACCCAAAGTCGCTTTCTCTATGAGAGGGGCATTGATCTCCTGTCATCTTAAAACCTGCAAGTGAACAATGCTGCTAGAAGGATGACAGCTGGAGAAATGTCCCATTTGCTCTACCTGTGCACAGGTGTCCCCGGTTTCCAAAACCATTTTCACAGCACCCTCCACCTGAAACCAAAGACCAGGGTCTAGGCAGTATCCTCAGGCTTTCCATGGGTGTTCATGTGTGCATGCAATATATATGTGCTGCACAATCATGTTACTCACCCAAAACAACCTGCAGTGGGCATGGCTTTAGTCCTCATGACTACAGGACTGGCCATCTTGTACTTTCGGCTAACTCTGTGTTTGTGTGCGCGCATGCAAACACCGTGTTTATGTGAGCACAAGCATGATAGGTGCTGGGGGTCAGTGCAGGACATGTCCTTCTATCTCCCACCTCTCGCTTGCTCTTTGGAGCCTGCTTTTAGCATGGACTTCATTCATCAGATCTTTCCTCACCCGTTCAATGCTGTATATGTGGATCAGAGGATACAATCCTGTACATGTCCATCAGGTCTCAAGGAATTCAGTGGTGCTTAGTTCCTGGTAAGCCCAAGTGACAGAAACAAACACTCTGCATATATGTATCACGCAGCCCCCCAACGCTTTTCCTTCCCAAGAACTTTCAAGCATTGCACAGCCGTGGATATATTTTCAACGCACCCCAGGGATGCTGCTATTCTGGACCATCTTCGTGGCTTTCCCCAAAGCAATCTCCATGAACTTCTAGTGTGTGTTTTAAAAACGCGCTGTGCCGTTTGTGACTAGGCACTCTGCTTGGGGGGTACCAACTGCTGTGTCACAAAAGATGGCCCTATCCAGCACTGCGCCGGGCCCACATTCAGATGCGACGCGTGTGGGATGTTTTCCAGCCCTTCAGACTTTCTGTCCATGACCTCATCCTGCGGCCCACTCATTCAGCTGCACAAAGAAATTAGTGTAAACCTCCCGCTTCCCCTCTTCACTCTCTTACACAGTTTCAGTTTTTCCAGTGTCATTGAAAGTAGTAATATGATGAGTGGTATGCACCAACTTTTTTTTTTTTAAATGAGAGGGAGGAAATCTAAAATTGAGAAGCCACTTTTGCTTCTATTCTGAGAAAATACATCTGCACAGAAAAAGCGATACATTTGTCCTTGCTTCTGGAGTTTTTGGTTCCAAAAACATTCTGCAATGAATTATGCATCAAACTCCTTTAGACTAATGACTACCGGGATTGTCTGGGCGCAAAATTGGCACCGCCCGTGTATGTCTTTCACCCACCCCCTAGAGGCTGAATTATATTAAATTACATATGGAGGTTTGGTGGCTTGGGAGGATGAAGAGGAAGGCTGCTGCAGTCCAGACAAATCCGGAAGGCAGCAGGTCTTGGAAAGGCTGTAGTGTGGCGTCTGTCTCCAAAGATGTCTTCTAGGAGGAAAAAAAAATCTCACATAGATCCCGCAGACAGATACGATTTCTGCATGAAATGGCTTTCTCATCCATCTATGACTGGAGAGGTAAAAGGGCAGAATTTGAAACTTAACGTGCAGTTCTGGTCGAGGGACCTCATTTCTGCATTGTCAGTCAACGCTGTGGACTGTCACAGATCGCCAAGAGATGAGATTGTGACATGAAATAGAGCCCAACCTCTAAAATCAGAATCAATGTTTCAGGACGTTTATTGCTAGTCATATCCTTGAATTTTAGTGGAGCTATAGCAAAGACTTCACTTTCAGCCAAGGTGACAGTAAACCATTGGAAACTTTCTGTTCTTCCACTCCTCCCTGCCCCATGCACGGGAAAAACGGGGCTTACAGCACAGTCCTGTGACCACAAGACAGTGTCTCTATGGTCAGGAGACTCTTCAGATTCCCAGTTATGAGGCTGGAAATTGCTCTAACCTCAAAGCTGGGAATCTGCCCTCGGATCCTTCCGCTGGCATGGAGAGAACAGCACTCATTGCTCCTTCAGGGTCATGACAGGTGCCTAAGAGAAGGTCTTTAGGGCATTCCAGGGGGTGGGTAAGGGAGCAGATGAGTGCTTCCCCTATATGACATATTCTTCCCCTTCCTGCTCTGAAGTGCTGAACTGAACCCGATTCGGCAGCTTAAGTGCTTTGCAGAATGGAAGAAGTGTGGAGGTGACCTTCACCTCTGTTCTCTTCCCAGCTTCCATAGGATGCCAATAATATTGGAGGCGTTACAGGCAGCCCCGCAGGACCCGGTGCTTAAAGCCTTTTCACACTCAAGGCTCAAACTGCTCTTGAGCCATTCATGTTAGCAGCTGATAGCTGATAATTGAGAAGAGGAAGGGAAAGAGGGTCCCATGTAATCAAAGGAGCATTTGGGGCAGTGTTTATTTTACCTTTGCAGTATGACCTGATTTTGAGCTAGAATGCTTCAAGAGCAACATGACCGAGAACACCCTCAGTGTATTTTCACCTGGCATATAATGCTAATATGCATACATTTATTTGTTTCTGTATTGCCCATTAGCTCTCGTTTTCTAGGCAGTTCAAAAAACAAGGTGGAACACCTGGAAAAAACCGTATGGACACAATCCTATGCATTTTTAGGCAGAAAAACAGCCCTGTAGCTCCCAGCACTGGGCAAAGAGACAGCTCATGCTGAGTGAGTTCACTTGGAGCCACAAGCTGGAGTGTGACCCACTGCAGTTCACACGGTCTGAACGCAGCTATCAGAATCCCTCCGGGGAACTTTCCCCACAGTGGCTTGTGGCCAAGTATGCACCAGCTCGCTCCCTTAAAATCCTTTTCTAAATGGCCTTTGCTGCCATCTTGTCTAAAGCAAATCCAGCGGGAATCCTTAAGTTGCGATAGCTTTTCCCCTTAAGAAGAAAGAAATCTGCCATCCCCAAGATATATGTGGCTCTTTTAAAGCTAAAGATAAAGTTAGAGGTCTGATTGGCTAATTAATCTGACAATCTCCTATTCATTATTTCACCTAGCGGGGTGCCTCTTTGGCCCATCGAGCCTGTAAACTCATTAATGCACATTAATCAGTGGAATGTAATTGCTTGTTGTTGCCTGCAGACTGGGTGTGTGTTGGTTATGTATGCAATTAGCCTCAGGACCGGCTCTCCACAACCAGCCCAGCCAACGGGAAAATGAGCATTAAAATAACAGAGATAATGACAGTCTTCGGTCCTGCTGCTAGTGTCATTGCCAATGGTAAGCAAATGCCATTCTATTGTACCACTTTTAATTTTCTTAAATATACGGCAGGATAAATAGCTATTTGCTGTGCCAGGATTTATAACTTGAGTCAGAAAGTTGCTGGAATCCTTGGTACGGTGTAGGTTTGTGTGTGTGTGAGTGTTTGCCCCCTTTTCTTCTGGCAGTCTTTACTGAGAAGATGAGAAAGCACTCAGAATACAAAATGGAAAGGCCACCTAAAGCCAAACCAAATGTCAGTAAGAAACATTGCTTTAAAATACACTCTAGTATTCATTATTCTTTTGACCTCTGTGTGAAAGCTATCAGAACCCTGCTACTTGGGTAGCTGGTGGTTAGTTGTAATGGTGAGTTGTATACCATCTTCCAGAAGTCCTTTGCTGCATTTAGATGCAGATCTGAAGAAGACCACTATTGGAGCGTTGATGTTGCTGCGGATTCTATACAGGCAGGTGCATCAATTTTGAAATTCAGAGAATATGTTGATGATAAGAAAACGAAACCAGAAACACATAACTCAACAGTGTGCTAGAAAATGTGTAATGTCCTAGGGCTCAGAAAACCTTCTAAGTCCAGATCCTCAGCCAAAGCAACTTGAGATGGACATGCCAAATAACTTGGAAGTGCAAATGTTAAACATTCATTTTCCAAACCAAATAGCTCACACCCTGCCTTGGTCCAACAGCAACATTTGATTGAGTACCAAATGCTCCCCTGCCTGCCATGAGGGCCAACATTTTTAAGAGTCTGACTACAACTTTCAGAACATCATCGGTTCCTCTAAATTCCTACCTGTGAAGCAGCTTGCTTCACCTTTCAGCCCAGAGCAGCATCCATCACACCTGCAGCTTTGTTGGTTATTTTTGCTAGCAGTTTTGCTAGCGTATTTTAACTGCTTATTTTAGAATATGGGTGGAAAATGGGCAGCCTGCAGAAACTCCTCTCCAAACTCCTCACCCCCCCCCCCCCAGTGCAGTGAGGTTTTAGTTAAAACTTCCATTTGTGGAAACTTAATTTTAAAAAAATGCTGGTGAGGGTGATTCTTTTTTTGTGGAGGGGGCAGGGGAGATCGTAGCTACACATCATGAGACTCCCTGGAGAAGACAACCATGCTAGGGAAAGAAAAGGCAGAAGACGAAAAAGACCAACCATGAGATGGCTCAATTCCCGAAAGGAAGCCACAGCCAGGAGTTGAGTGCTGAGCAGGGCTGCCAAGGACAGGGCATCTGGAGGACCTGCATTCATAGGGTCGCACAAGCCGGAGGTGACTGGGTGCATAAAACAGCAACAAGAGCTGTAGATTCCATTGCCCGTCAGAACAGCAGGTGTCCCCGGGCATCAGTGGCTTCTCCCCAATCTTTATTGGTGTTGGTGAGTTGGGGATGTGGGGGGGCAGGCAAGGGTGGAGAGAGAGGGAGGGGAGAGGAATGGGTGCATAAGGCCACCCCCATTTCACTCCAGCCGTAGCCCTTCCTGGCATGCAGCCCCCAGCAGTTTTCATGACTTCTCGGGGCTCGGCAGGAGAAAGCACTTCTGTCGAACCAGGGGCTGATTGGAGGCAAGAGGGAAGAGGGACCAGTGGAGGAAGCCGCACGTGGGTTCATTCTAATGTGCAGGCACTTTTCCTGCTTTTTTGCCTGGAGACATGGTGCTCATGCTTACTCCTGAGTAGAGATGCCATTGGACAGTGCTGCTGCCGAGTGATTCAGTCCTGCTTCCTCCTGAGTCTTGTCCTGTTTACTCCTTAGGAGATAAGTACATATATTGAAATAAAGAAGGAAAAAAGATGATTGCTTCAGCTGTCATGATTACAGCAGGCACATAAAGAGTCCAGAATCTGCACCTACTAGAAATATAATATTATTTAGTATATATTTAGTGCATGCACAGGTCACCTTTCTTCATGCAACTTAGCATCATAGTCATGGCTTCCTAGGCCTGTTTTCCTATCCAGTCACTCATCAGACCCAGATTTGATTAGCTCAAAAAGTTAGCAGTATACTGAGGCCAGGGGACAGGGGTGACTGTTAGCATGGTTGACCTCTTTATCCATTGCAGCTCTTATTTTGAGTTTCATGAGAACTCTCCATGGTGCTTCATGGTGGGGAAGCTATTTTGGATAGCTCCCATAAAGCTCAAAATAAAAGCTGAAGTGCATCAGGAGCCCAGTGACCTGCCCAACTTAAGATCATGTCCATCCCCATAGCTTGAAAATATTTTGCATTAAGATGTGAGCTTCATTTTGCTCTCATTCTCTCTCTCTGTGTGGTGGGGCATTAGAAGAAATCCATTTAAATGTTTGGTTTTGGAGATGACTCTTTCCGTATTAGCTTTATTAATGTTTACACACAGATTTCTCCATAGCTATTTACAGAACCAGTGAAAAGAACCATTATTGGTGCCAACTCATGTTCAGAAAACAGAATGGGACCTTTTGAGGGTGACAAAGTGCTCCCTGCAGGCTCTTTCTGAGTGAAGGCCTGCTGCATGCCATGCATTTTGCTCTCTTGACAATACCGGAAGAAATCCTGCTGCCTTGATTAGATTTGCAATGCTACATCAGAGCCCAGAATAATTTCTTTTGAATTTCTTACTGAATGATGGGTTGAAAATGACCAGTCCTAGCATATAATGGCCGGAGTTGTTTCTGACATCTAATGAAGTGCCTTTAGTTCAAAGAAAGCTTATGACAGAATAAATCCACCTTTAAGGTGCCGCAAGTTGCTTTGTTGTTCTTTCCTCAGCAGACTAACACTGCTAATCTTCTGAAAGACATTTGTGTGTAACTCCACAGACCAGAGTCTAGATGTGGGCCAGCAGGTGGAGATATGTTTTAACAAAGAATCCGTACTGTATTTTTTTAAAGCCTTCTGCCAGTTACTTCAGCTTTCTAGGATAAAAGTGCACCGTATGAATTCTGGGTATATCAACATTATCAGTTACCTCTAATCTTTCGATTAAATATGTACCTAATGGATATTTGCTGTGTCATGGGAAAGCGGCATGTCTGCTTAATAAGAACTGTGTTATGCATCGATATTCAATCAAGTGCAGAAAGGCAATTGCATTTTTGGAGCACTTCTGGTACAGCTATATGCTCAGATCAGCAACCGAATTATAGCTGGCAAATAAGTATAGAAGGATTTGCCGTCAGTGTGAATAAGGTGGCCACTTATGACCCACCAAAAAAAGAAGGCACCTGTTTGCATTTAAAAATTCCATATGATAGTTTACATGAAGAGATGCACACTTAGAAATCATTATTCTAATTCAGATAGAAATGCAGTGTGTGTCTCATCATAGTGTGGGACCCTGAGAGCAGGTGTGTGTCTGCCTTGGCCAACCAGACATCCAGGTGCTGTTGAGCAAAACTAAGGTTCAGACCTTCATCTTTACACCAGACTTGGACTGGTCAGTCCTACCAGTAAAAGATGCCTTTTTAGCAAACTATTCTTCCATATTTCCAAATGCCTCCATGGTGATCCACCTCAAATGACCATAATTTCTTATTGCACACAGAAAGCATCGCTGATGGAAAAATCCACGACACTTTCAAATGAGACTGGATTTCTGCGAATTAGCTTGCAGATCTGGCTGCAGACCAGCTTTTTCCAAGGCAGCCAGACTCCAGGGACTTGCAGATTTTAAACAGAACCAATTTGGGAGGTGCTCATTTGCAACCAGAAACAAAATCCTAACATAAACTCCTAAAAGAAAATCTGATTCCATCGATAAGTAGAAAACAGAACAGAAGATGCCAGATAATCGGTGAATCACAGAGGAAACAGATTTACCAAAATCCATACATCTCTACTTGTGGTGCACTTCAGGCTTCTAAGGAACTCCATAAAATGCAAAATGACATTTCATGTTGATTACTTGCAAGCTGTTTACCACCATGTCCACCTTGTCTCTTTTGTTAGAACAGAAGAGTCTTGCTAATGAACTCTAACTGAGCCTAATGATTGTCCATGTGGATTTTATGGGCTAAAGAAAAACAAAAAGGAAGGAGAACACTGTGCTACTCCCAGCAAACATGGCCATGTTCCCAGCTCTATGCTTGACAAGTTTTGGTTTTAATTGGGTTTGAGATGTTTATGATAATATTTACAGAAGGGTGGAGAGTAAAGCAAGGAAAAGAGACAAAATGCAAGAGGTTGGATCCAACCCTTGTCATCTGCCAGTGGAATCCAAACTCCTGCTGAAACGGATTTGCCTTCCCCCACTGTAGCACATGGCACCCCCCCCTTGCCAATTTGCTCTCAGATGTTTGGGGGTACCCCTGGAGCAGATTTAGAGGGGGGCTGTGAGAGACTGCAGGGTGTGGCAGCAATAAGAAGCCCCCTGGTATGAATGGAACTCTGCTTGTGCGATGTTGGATTTAGCTCATTCCTTCCCCCTACAGGCCCTGCATGGCCTCGCATAATGGAGGGAAGCCTCTGAGGATGACAGGCAGGTTGCTATGGGAGGGTTTTGAGTATCTGGGTTTTAAGACATGTGTGGGCAGAATATTGCCTAGGATAGGGACAGCCCAGTCCAAGTGACCCAAGCATTTTAGGTCAGTGAACACATGAGGAATTTTGCCATCACTTGTCTCACAACATGGCTGCCATGTGAACAGACTGCCTACTCATAAAATGGTGACCATGGCAGGCCGGGCCAGTCACAAACACTCATTGGAAAGTTATTTACCTCAGAACCAAAGTATGAAAGAAAGGCAGGCTCCCGCCTCAAAACCACAACCTCATTCTTCTGAAACCAAATGAAGATAATGCTTTGTAGCATGTCAACCTCCCAGCTAAAATAACAACTAAGGGGAAAAACCTGGAAACAAAATATAAATCAGGAAGAGCAGAGAGCACTGTGGGTCCCCAGAGAGGTGTCTGTGAGGCACATTGGCATGAGCGCTGCACTGGGGCACCCTGGCCTGGCCACTGAGACGCCTGCACCAGTGGCCTCGCAATGCGGCTGCAGTCGTGTGCCCTGCCAGGACCTGCCCTTATGCCTGCGCTGGAAGCAGCAGCTAGTGCAGGACACAGAGGCTCACATGCTCAGTGGAGCACCTAGAGCAGGGCTCCTCCAACTTTTTAAACGGGGCCAGTTCACTGTCCCCCAGACTGTTGGGGCCTGGACTATAGTTTGAAAAAAATATGAATGAATTCCTATGCACACTGCACATTAAAAATGAATTACAATTAAAAGAAATTAAAAATTAATTGAAATTTTAAAAATGATTTTAAAAGTTTGCTCCACTTGCTTGGGCTGCAGCAGAAACCCAAGATGAGGTGGGGAAGAGCATGTCCATATTCAAGGGACATGGCTACAGTGTCCGTGATTGTGCTGGGCTGGGGAAGACGGACGTGATCGCGCTCGTGCAGGGAAGGTGGGCACAATCACAGCCATCTCTCCACCTGCCCAGCATGACCGCAATCACACCCGCCTTCCCACTGAGTACTCCTGCGCTGGCTCACAGCTTTTGGACTTGCTCGGAGGTCATTTTCTCTGAGTGAGTCCGAAAGCTCTGAGGCGGGCCAGACAAATCAGCATGGCGGGCCGGATCCAGCCCACGGGCCGTAGCTTGAGGATCCATGAGCTAGAGAGTGGAGCCCCAAGAGACACAGTGAAAAAGTCCACACTGGATGTCGCTTAGCCACCAAGCCCTGATCAGAGCTCTGTTGTTGACATACGAAGCCCCAAACCACACGGGACCAGAACGCCCATTCCGTGCAGACGCAGTGAATCCCTGAAACCTTCAGAGGAGCCTCATTGGTGGTCCCACCACCATGGGAATCTTGCCAGTTAAGGGTACAAAAGGAGGCTTTCATGGTGTCGACACCCCCATTTGGCTCACCTGCTTAGGGTTGGAGAGGCAGACCCAGTGGCAAGTTATACACACCTCTTGCAAATGCACCTTGACACACGGGCTTCCCCTGACCTGTGAGGGATTCTGCGACTGCCTTATTCATTGTTTTGCTGCAATGCTTTTGATTATCTGTTATTTTCACCCAGTTTTTGGCTTGTTTTGTTATGCGAACTGCTTTGGAGTTTTAGATATGAAATGGTATAAAAACGTTACAAATCAGTTAAAATAAAATCTTCTGGTAAATCTCTGCATGGCTTTCAGGAGATCGGCCAGGATTTGGCTTCCAGTTGTTTAGTGATAGCAGTAAGCCATTGATTCCTCCCTGCTCCACCTTTGTAGGATTGCTGAGATGAAGCAAGAAAGGTCGGAGTAGGCAGGGCTGCATTTGTGTGTGAAAAGACAACTGAGCTCGGCTGCATTCGGATACTCTGAATGAATTCCAGCACTTGGCTTCTGCTCACAGGCCTTGATGCTGAGCAGCGGAGTCGTAGCAAATATGAACTGCAACCATTCATGGTCGTCCCCACACCCATGTCCTCTTGAGGCACACCAGCAAACCAGGTCTTCTGGTAGCTTCCATCGGTTAGAAGTAGGTGTGAAGTGGATATTCAAACAATTGCCACCCCCAGAATGTTTCACAGCAAGGAACACTCAGTTGTTGCTGGGAAAGAAAAATCAGCTGTGAGAATTGCTGCTAAGCTGAGAGAGAGCAGGGAAATTGAGGCGGGTGCAGGTGGAACGTGGGATCAGAGTCTGTGCTAATAGAATGTCCCAGTGCTACATGCCTGGGAGCACTGATTCCACTACACCTCTGATTCCAGGTATGTGCACCTCCAGGTGGTGATGCTTGGATTCCAGTAAAACCAGATCGCACAAGTCCGACAGGACCTCCCTTCTTCTGAGCCATACAGGGCTTTCATGGGAACTGTTAGCACTTTGAAATATGCTCAGCATAGACTCGAAGCCAGTGAAGTTCTTTCAGAACTGGCAAGAAGGTTAAAAATCTGCATGTAGAATGGATCCACCATCACTGCAATGTTATGGCTGAAGCCCCATCGGTGAGGGTGTTCAAGGATAGGCTGGACATGCACATGGACTGGAGCCGGGGGTCAGACTAGATGGCCCAGGAGACCCCTTCCGACTCGCTCTGCTTCTATGTTTCTGTGTATGCACAGAGGTAGTGCATTGCCCATGTGGATCTTTGCCGAAGTGGGAGCTTTTTAATGCTCCACGGAGATTGCCTATGTTCAGGTCTAGCCTTCCGTCCTTTGCACGGACTTCTGAGTGTGTGCTAGAGTCTTGCAGAAACTTGACTTACACAATCCCTTGTGCTGGGAGAAAGAACTTTCTGTTACTTCACAGCACGGATCGAATATTTGCATTTTAAGTTGCCATCCTCTAATTAGTCCTAAATGGGTGCGGAAGTAACTCCCTCAGAATTCAGCCTGAACAGTGATATGTAATCCAAGCCGTCTGCAAAGGAAAAATAAAGAAAACGGCCCTGCGTTGCCACAAGGTTGCCCCGAAACAGAATGTAAACTGCTTTATGTCAATAGCTGTTGCGTCCATGTAAGCCCTCACTGTGGCAAGCACCCTTTTCATTGTAAACGGGTTATGACAGAAGATAACAAATAGATGGCATTTGGCACTGAATGTACGACGCTGTTCTCTGCTGAGAAAGCAAGATGCCTGGGGCGGGGGGGGGGGATGAGCAAAGGTGCCTCTGAAAGAGGGGCTGGAGAACGAACAATGCAGGTGCTGTTCAGGTGCAGATTCATCATCTGGTGCACATAGTTGTGATGTTTTAGTTAACATGCAAAATGTTGTTTTAAGGAAATAGTGAATCTGTCAAGTGCAAGTTACAAGTTAGGAGGAGAGATGGTTGTCATTAAAAGTTCCTTGTTAATTGGGGTTGCCAGCTCCACCCACTGGCACACCAAACTGCTTTGGCTAAATGAGTGCTTGGAAATCCAGTGTTTACCTCCAAGAAACACGAAGTCATATTCAATTAGCATCCAGCAGCATAAGCTGCAAAAGGTATGGGTTATAAGAAGAGAAGTCCATTTTCTCTTCTCTCCACAAACAGAATTACAGAACAGGAAAATATATCAAAGCAAATTGCTCTCTGTTTCGCAAACCCAAGATGACGTTTCAAAATAGTGCTGTGAAAGAGAGTAAGCCTGTGTCTTGACAAAAAGCATCAGAGGTGCTGGAGCAACTGAACCAAAGTGGGCTTATTACAGTGCTAATTTATGCCAGGGAAACAAAATTAATGTTTGGCATTGAAATTTACTTTCTGTGAGCCAAATTTAAAATCCAACCCTTTGATTAATCAGTGGTTCACTCGGGGCATTTATTTATGACCCAGAATGGATGGGCTTGTGGTGGCATTTGGAGCCTGGAGCCATGTCTCCTTTTCCAAACTGAAATGGCATTGCAGACTGAACTCCTATTACCTTGGCCTAATGGCACTTACTTTTAATATAAATAAAATAAATAAATTAGTTGAGTTACTGTTTCAGTATATAGCCGCCATTGTGTCAAACCCCAGACTCGTATCCATAAAGGCAATTTCACATTTTTCTCCAGCTGAAGAACGTCAGAATCTGGACCTTTGTCAACATCTTGTCCCTGTGAGACACCAGAAAATTAATATTATTTTTTCCTGAAAAGCTGGAAGTGAGCCCATTTAGTCTGTGTCCAAGCAGTGTAGAATATTTCAGTGACAACAAGTTCTTTTCTTCTTTACCAGAGAACTGTGATGTGTGGAAAAAAACATTTCAGGCACTTGCTTTCCAGTAGATTTATTCAGCAGCTCAGTGGATCACTCATGTCAGCTTACCTTTAGTTTTCCACATGTAAGAGAGCAGTGGAAAGAAAGAGGTGGGAAGAAGGATGGAAAATATTAGGAGTCTATGCTGGAAGCAGGATTCCGTTCACTTAGGAAGGGCCCTGGATTGATTTGGAGACTGCCCATTTACTCAGGCCCAAATCAGAACCTCACCTTGCGAACCTGCCTTTTGGCAGAATTGTATTATATTTTCAGGCACAATAACCTCTTCTAAGTAAATGAATCTGCCAAGTTTCAGGCAAACACATGTAGGGGTTTTTTTTTGCAGACAAGTTGTCTTAACATTTTGTTTCTTTTCTCTTTCTTAAAACTTTCTTTCTTAAAACTGCTTATAATTTTAAATTTCTTGGCATAGTTAGATAAAAGTTGCAAGAATGGTTGCCTCCTCCAGAAGCGATAAAACATGCCAAATTTCAGGCAGATCAATGAAGGAAACTTTTGGAAAAAGAATCTTTCCAGAGTGTGGGGTAGCGACTGTTCAGAAAAGGATTCCTTTATCTCCCCAGTATTTTGTGGGCTATTGATATGCAAATAACATATCAGAGAGATGCACCTAATTAAGTACACTGCAACATTCCAGAAGGATAGGTGCAGCTCCAGTCCCGCCTGGAGCGCCGAGAATGAAATCTGGGACCATCAGCATCAATGCCTATCACTGCATAGATGTCACCAGCCGTATCTGCGCTCCTGTGTTGCAGTTTGCAACTTCCAGCAAGGGTCTCTGTGTGTGTGTATGTGTGTCGGGAAGATCTTCAGAGGATTGTGGCCACTTCCCATGTATGGCCCAGCTTGTGCACAGGAGGGAGCTGCAAAGATGCACAATATGGGGAAAGTTCTGTGCAAGCCCCATTCACACTGTACCTGTGCACAAAGTCCACACCTTGTAATGCAAGAGGCAGCAGGTGGATGCGAAACAGGTAAAGGAAGACAAACCAGCCTCCCCAAAAGCAGCGCCTGGCTTGACGATGGTGAACAAGATCGCACAGGTGTCTCCACTACAGGCAAATGTCCCTCCCCGTCTAACATCAATTAGTTTTTTGATCAATGAGCTAGAAATCTCTCTTTCCACATAATTATCATTCTTAAACACTCTTAAATGAGAATAATGGCTTAAGCATCAGCACCATCTGTCCATCGTTAAGCGACAGAAGATCTAATTGCTAAGGGAAACGTATTCCCCCTTCCCTATAGAAAAGGAAGTGCATTTGCTCTTTACAGAGACTAATTGTAGCAAGGAAGGTTTTTTATGTATACTTATTAGTTTAGCCAAAGTGGCTGAAAATAAACAAAAGTGGGGGAAGCACATGTTACAACACCTGCGCTGACTACATGTTCTGTTGGAATAACTCATTTGCTAATGATTTGCAGGTCTAGGAGGCTGCGGCTTTAAGGGATATTATGAAAAATCAGTGATCACATTTTAACAGTTCCAAAAAGTTATCTCACATTGTGCATTCTTAGCAGATTTAAAGATTCTTAGCAGAGCTGGCAAGGATAGAATTCCAAGCCATGTAACTGTATATCAAAGCTATTTTAATGTATGGCCTCTTTAGCAAATCTCTTTCAATCAACAGTGACTTCCACTAGCTAGATAAAATTGCAAAAAGATTTATAAGATGATAGTGTATCTGAGTACATTATATAAATGCAGGTTTGCTTTTTGCTAGATATGATTGTGAACTTCCAGCTTTGACTGTTCTAACAATGTCATGGAATATACTAGATGCACCCACCAAATGAAATCATTCCTTCATTCAGTTATATTTACA